CTGCGGGCCCGACAGCCTGAACGATGCCTGATGCGAAGCGCCCAACCTGGGCTCAGGTCTCCATTTTCCCACGTTTGTAAGACGAGGACACAGCCCCGCGCTTCATTTCAGCAACTGAAACCTCAGTGTTTGGGTAAGATGAACTTAACCGCGGTTTCTCGGCGTGCATCAACTTCGGGGCTTTTTGGAATGAACCGTTCATAGGTGATATTCCTTTCCTTAAGAAACACCACACCTCATCTTTCAGGAACTAGGACCTTCTGACAAAATCCTGGATGCATGTTTTTAGAGGTGGGTGGCACGAAGTGTTCAAGCCCCTGATTGGGCAATTAATGACTTGGATCAGCTTTCGCCAGTTCGCCTGGCTTGTCACTAAAAATGTGGACGTGGAGAGCTTCCAACATTAGGAACCGCCCTTGAAAAACTAGAACCACGGTGGCCCGAAAGCACAATTCCAATAGCTCGTCGCGCGGCTCCGCACAGACCACGTCAGCCGCCGGTGCGCGAGAGCTCTTCGGCGCGTGTGACCGCGAGTAGAAAGCATCACGCGTCTAATTTGTGTGACTGTTGACCCAGAACATCGCTGCGGCTCTCTCCAACATCTTCAGTTCCCACAGGGAGTGGTCACAGCCTCTCCACGGCCGCGAGGAAGGTCTTGCCTGAAGAAGCTGACACGGTCATGCCGTGCTCCACAATGAGCCACGCACACAGCATAACCGAGCTTCGACTGCTGCAACCAACGCCGAAAGAAGTGGCCCTTCGATAAGTTGGCAAGCTCGGGACAAGTTTCCATGAGCAAGTCCTCCGAGCAAGTTCTCTGCACGCAGCGCTGGCTGCAACATGGCAACCTTGGTGTCATTCTCCCACCGCGCGGCCTTAAGAGACTTTCGCGTTCACATGTATCGTGCAAGTTTGGCTGCGTGGTATCTCGTGCAAGTTGATCTCGCGCAAGATGATCTCGTGCAATTTGGCTCGTGTAAGTTTGGCTGTGTGCTACGGCTCGCGCAAGTTGGCTCGCGCACGTTGGCTCGCGCAAGGTGGCTTGCAAGTTTGGCATTGTGCAAGTTGTTCTCGCGCGAGCTGGCTCGGGTAAGTTTGGCTTTGTGATGAGGCTCGTGCAAGTTGGCTCATGCAAGTTTGGCTGTGTGATAAGCCTCGTGCAAAGTTGGCTCGCGCAAGCTTGGCTATGTGATAAGGCGGCTCGTGCAAGTTCGGCTGTGTGATAAAAGCTTGGCTGCGCGATAAGGCTCGTGCAAGTTGGCTCGTGCAAGTTTGGCTGTGTGATAAGGCTGGTGCAAGTTGGCTCGTGCAAGTTTGGCTGTGTCATAAGGCTCGCGCAAGTTGGCTCGTGCAAGTTTGGCTGTGTGATAAGGCTCGTGCAAGTTTGGCGGTGAGATAAGGCGCGTGCAAGATGGCTCGTGCAAGCTTGGCTGTGAGATAAGGCTCGTGCAAGTTGGCTCGTGCGAAATTGGCTCGTGCAAGTTGGCTCGTGCAAGTTGGCTCGCGCAAGTTGGCTCGTGTAAGTTTGGCTGTGTGATACGGCTCGTGCAAGTTGGCTCGTGCAAGTTTGGCTGTGAGATAAGGCGCGTGCAAGTTGGCTCGTGCAAGTTTGGCTCGTGCAAGTTGGCTCGTGCAAGTTGGCTCGCGCAAGTTGGATCGTGTAAGATTGGCTGTGTGATAAGGCTCGTGCAAGTTGGCTCGTGCAACTTTGGCTGCGTGATAAGGCTCGTGCTGTGTGATAAGGCTCGTGCAAGTTGGCTCCTGCACGTTTAGCGTCGTGCAAGTTGTTCTCGTGCGAGCTGGCTCGTGTAAGTTTGGACGTGCGATCAACTCGTGCAAGTTGGCTCATGCAAGTTTGGCTGCGTGATAAGGCTCGTGCTGTGTGATAAGGCTCGTGCAAGTTGGCTCCTGCAAGTTTGGCGTCGTGCAAGTTGTTCTCGTGCGAGCTGGCTCGTGTAAGTTTGGCTGTGTGATGAGGCTCGTGCAAGTTGGCTGATGCAAGCTTGGCTGTGTGATAAGGCTCGTGCAAAGTTGGCTCGCGCAAGTTTGGCTGCGTGATAAGGCTCGTGCAAGTTGGCTCGTGTAAGTTTGGCTATGTAACAAGGCTGGCGATGTTACCGGAAGAACCCTTCGCAATGCTTTTGGGGGAAGAAAAAAAAGGTGCAATCCTCGGTAACAGTACCCAGCGCGACGCCGTCTTTTTCTTGCCGATTTCCTCGCCCAGAGCAATCTTCGTGGGCACCTGATTCCTCCGCCTCCGCTCGGACAGCAGTGCTCCAAATCTCTGACTTGGAGAAGCATGGAGCCGCGGGCCCATTGGCAACCGTCTGAGCTGGCAATCTCGACAATGGCCCCGATAGGGCCTATAGGTGCAACCCGTCTTGCAAACTCTCAACCAAAGATCGGTTGCCAAAACCTTGGACGGTGCCTGGGCTCCATGCTGAAGAGACTCTCCTAGCCACGCGAGCTCGTTTTTGGCATGGAATGATGCTCCCAACATGCGTATGTCTTAAGATTCTTGAAAGCACCCTTCTGTCTCTAGCAGTTTGCATTTTCAAAGTCACCTAAATTTCGAGACGCCATGATATCGCAACATTTGGGGATAATGTCACAAAAGGAACGCGACTTGATTCTGTCCAATGTTTAAAGAGAGCTGGGAGCATTGTATGGGACACACAGGGTCGCTCCGCTGTCCAAGACAGTGTGCCAGCATGCCCCATGTCTGGAGGTTTGTACAAACACAAGACCTGGCAAGCTAGTCAACAAGCTGCTTTCCTCTTGCCCCAGCCCCCACAACACCCCCAAAAAAGCAGGAGACAGGAGCTCGCGTTTGGCCCTCGGTGTGCCCATTCTGCCCATTTGAGATCCTCGCGAGGTCTGAGAGAGGCGCGTGGTTCAGTGGTGCTGGCTTCTCGAAATCAACGAGCAAACAACTTGAGTGCCTATTCCGCGTAGGGTGACCGAAAATGGCCGGAAGCCAAAGCGAGCTTCGGTATACTGCATGCCGCTACCCGGTCGCGACCTTCTTCTTTTTTGCTAGGAGTGCCTTTTTGTTAGGAGTGGCTCCCTACAAGAAGTGGCTGCATGTGACTGTGACCAAGAGAGGAGGGCGGGTGGAGGGCAACATCCCTAGCATCGCCGGGCTTAGTCTGCCCCTGATCTGTTGCCACCGCAAGACAAGCCACTAGTGACTAGCCCGTCAAAAACTCAGCATCGTTTTCAACATCCCCCGCATGTCCAGCCAACATCCCCAGCATCACCAGCGATTCATGATGGTAAAAGTGAAGACCTGTAAACACCTAAAAAGTAGCGGGGGGTTTGGGGGGGGCAGCAGCCCCCCCATGATGATCGAAAAAAAATGATGATTCAAATAGGGACAAAAAAACTAAAATGTAGCGGGGGGTTGATCGAAAAAGTGATGTAAAAAGTAGCAGGGGCCGCCATGATGATCGAAATGTGATGATTCAAGGCAACAAATCTAAAAAGTAGCGGGGGGGTTGGGGGGGGAGGCAACCCCCCCCATGGTGTTCGCAGAAGTGATGGGGCCCCCGCTACTTGTTAGATTTTTGGCCCCCTAGCTGAATCATCACTTTCTCGATCATCATGGGGGGGGCTGCCGCCCCCCAAACCCCCCCCCCCCATCATGTTCGAAAAAGTGATGATTCAAATATTAAATCTCTGTCCAAAAAACCAACTGGGAAAGCAGAGGATAGACCACCAGAGCAACTAGTAAAGCAGAGGATGCGAAAAGCCAAAGCCGCAAAAGCCGCGTAAACCCAATTAAAAGCCGCAAAAGCCAAACAGAGAGGAACTGTGAATGCAGAGGATGCGAAATGAAAAGCCACAAAAGCCACATAAACCCACGTAAATGCGGCAAAAGCCAAGAAGCCGAAAAGCGACCCACCAAAAAAAACACACACAAAAACCCTTAAAAAAATGGCCCGTTGTTTTTTCCAGCTTAGCTGCTTATGGTTGAACTTGGGTAAACATGGGGGTGGCTGGGCTGGCTTGCGCCAGGCTTTGGGGCTTGTTTCAGCTGTGCTTACTGTTGCTGAAGGGGCGGTGTTATTTGCATTTTTGCTGGTTTGCGACCAACCAGCCAACCAACCAACCAACCAACCAACCAACCAGCCAACCAGCCAACCAGCCTTGGAGCCCTTGCTAAGCTGCGAGCCACTCCTAGCAAAACAAAAAAACGTCGCCTCCCTGCTACCCTTGATTTAGAAACAAAAATAAAACATGATTCGTGGTGACATGATTTGCCCATCTAAGGTGTGCAATTCCGAACTTGAAACATAGACCTTGATGTCGCTGGCGTTTGGACTAAGATCACCTGACCGTGGCTTATCCAAAGTTGCTTCAACTTCAGGCGAAACGTTATTTGGACTTGGGGCCCCAAATCCGGCGCCTGAGTGCAAGGGACCACAGCGACGCTATTTAAACGAACAAGCCAACAAACAGACAAACAAACAAACAAACAAACGAACGAACAAACAAACAAACAAATAAGCAAGCAAGCAAGCAAGCAAGCAAGCAAGCAAGCAAGCAAGCAATCCATCAAGCAAACACACAAACACACACACACACACAAAAAAAAATGCACAACAAATGGTTCATGTCCAAATGCGAGTTTGAAAGCCCTCTAGCGGCAAGGATTACAGGCGACCTACTAGCTGACTATGGTGGTCTTTCCGCTTCTCTTGGCACTTCGCCTCACAGAATTGTCCCTTGGTTCGGACATGTAAGCCGAATGAGAGAGAGGTTGATTCTGTAACGTCAAACTTTTGAGAAGCCCTCACAACCGATTGACCCATTCTGGACGGAGTGTCTTCACAGCTACGCGCCTGGCACATCAATCAAATCGTGATGGCCATATGTCACCTTTCTGACATGCTTCTCGCCAAGATCCAACGGCTGTGCCGCACAGTGCCGCATGGTTGAGGCCCTTGAACCCTTGAAAAAGCCACACTCGGATCTTGCTTCGACACATACGCTCGGTG